CACTGCTGCCCTGAGCTCATCCAAACGGTTCTGGGAGCTGGACCCTTGCCCCTTCATCCTGGCCACGTGGCTCTCCAGAGACCTGTCAGAGGCTGATGAGCACCAAAGAGAAAGGCATGAGAAACTCACTGCTGAGCAAAAAGTCCCAGGCAACAAACCCCTCCCTGATACAGCCCAGATGGCTCCATCTGAGGGTGGTGGTACCTTGCAGGCTCAGGGCTTCCCTGAGGATGGTCCGAAGCATCTCCTCAGCCACCTGCATCCTGCCCTCCAGCTCCTGGCTCTCACCCCCTCCACCAGCTTGCACCTCTGAGAAGAGCATCTCCAGCTCTGCCAGCTGCCGCAGGTACAGGTCCACCTGCAACCACAGCAAGCCAGGACATCAGCTAGTGGGACATCCAACCCACGGGGGAAAGCTCAGGGTGGGAACCAGGTCCACAGTCCAGTCAGAGGACGGAGAACAACATGAGAGCCTATTTTTGGACAGGGCACAAAGTTCAGCAGCTCTAGGCCATTGGTTTTTGATCGGTTCAATAGGGTACAAACCCAAAGCTCAAAAATCACCCATCTCACACCAGGAGCAGATGCTTGGGGAGGCCAGGAGAAGACACTGAGGGTGAGTGAATCTCTGCACCCCTTGCTGCTCAGTGGCCACAGGGATGCTCACCTGGTCTTTCACCTGGCTGTAGCAAGCTGGGCACGCGCTCTCCTCACAGTTGGGACCCTCAAAGCCAGGCTTGCAGATGCAGCTCCCATCGCTCCTGCACTTCAGGGGCTCAGCACCAACTGAGTTGCAGGCACAAGCTGTGGGATGGAGCAACACACATTCAAAGGAGCCTATCTCACCTCAACCCTCAGCACATCCCTCCATCCACCATCCCTCCCTGCTTTCCTCCCACCATTTAGCTGTGTGCTTTGGTTCCTCCTCCAAGTAAGAAGGCATAGACCTTCTTAATCAACCCCAGCTCAAGGGGAAGCATCTCTCACCCCTGCACTTGTGAGCGGGGTCGGGCGCCAGGGGGTTCCCGAAGAAGCCGTCCTTGCAGCGGTCGCAGTAGAACCCGGCCGTGTTGTGGATGCACTTGAGGCACTCCCCGGTCTGCCGGTCGCAGTTCCCCACCGCGTTGGGCTCCACGTTGCCGTTGCACTGGCACAGCTGGCAGGGCTGGGAAGCTGCTGGGTCCCCAAAATAGCCATCAGCACAGTACTCACAGTTGGCCCCTGGGGAAAGAGAGATGAGGAGAAGATCATGCTCGTGTCTGGAGCACAGAGGCTTCCTCAACTGCTTGTGCCCTGCAGATATCATAGATTCATAGAATTTTAGGGGGTCGATGTTGTCGTTGCACTGGCACAGCCGACAAGGCCTCACGGCGCCGTTTTCACCCAGGGGGTCTCCGAAATAGGCATCGTCACACAGCTCACACCTCTTGCCTGGGACACAACACACGTTGCAGCAGAAAGCCCTTTGCTGCCATCTCAGCAAATGCCTTGCAATCCCTTCTGAAAAGTAAACTCTCCAGCTTCTTCCCCTTTCAGCCTCCTGTTGGGGTCAGACATGAATCCCTCCCCATCTCTAAATTCACTAGAACTTTGCATTATGAGTTATTTCTGCTCCTTTCCTTCCTATCCCTTTAAGCCAAACCTATTTGCTGTAATTTGTTGTTAATTCAGGAGTCCAAACAGGTAGAGCTCCGTGGGGCATTGCTGCTCCAGGAAGCTCCACTGCCAGTGAGATCTGCCAACCCTCCACAGGCAGCCCCTGAAGCATCCAACTCAGCAGCTTCCTACACTTACTGCAGGTCTGACCTCCTCAGTCAGCTGTATACTCTGTTTCTTTGGCAGTTCTCACACACAGAAACCCTCTTTTCCCTCACAGCCCAAGAAGGCAGCAGAAAACAAGAGGAACTCGTGTGCAATCACATAGCTACAAGAAAAATGAGCTTGTACAGACACCCAAGCTGCAGAGAACCTGGGCCCCTGGACTCTGCTTTGGCTCATGACACAGTGGCACCCATGGGAACCCCCAGGAGCTGCCTCTGTGGTTGGCCAGGGGCTTTTCCAAGCATTTCAAACATTTACAGGTATTCTGTACTTTGGACTCTGCCATGCCAAGCATAAAATCAGCAGAGAAGAACAGAGGCTTCCTTGCTGTTTGCAAGCAGAACAAAAGGCTCTGCCTAACGACTCAGCTACATGCTCAGACTTCACAGTTTATTGCTAAGGAAAGAAAGATCTGTATTGATTCATGTATTTCTCTTTAAAACTGCTTGCGGACTAGTTTGATCTTGTATTTTTCCGGGCAGTGTTTGTGAGTCACTGCAGCCTTCCTGCTTCTCCCAGGGAAGGCACTGGCCCTGCAAGCATCCTGCAGTGCTTCTCTGGCTGGCAAACTGCATCTTCTAATTTTATTTCAGCCTGACCTGCATTCCTGGCTCTTGTAAATCTGTTTTCTGCCCAATACCTTGCAATTACCAGAGCTCTATTAGAAGCCAGCGTGGCTCACACCTACACAGCACAGAAATGGTCAGGCTTTGCACAGATCAAGCCTTTGCTTCTTTTGCTCTCAAGAGACAGGCATGAAGAACATGGACAGCCCTGAGCCTTACACAGGACAGAAAACAGGGCTGAGGAATGGAGAAGAATTAGAAAACCAGAAGGCACAGCAGCTTTCAGTGCTGCTCACTGTGGATCAGAGACAGAATTGGCAGGAGACTCGTTTCCACAAGCACGTGGATGTAGCAGGAGACATTCTGTGCAGGAACACACCTGTAGTGCCAGCCTGGCAGCTGGTGCACACCACCTCCTTGGTGCGGGGCACGATGGCACAGCTGGAGCCCCCTGGGCAGGGGCAGGGCTGGCAGTCCGAGGCCGTGCCAGCCGTGGGATCGCCGTAATAGCCATCGCTGCACTTCTCGCAGTGAGACCCTGCCGTGTTATCCCTGCAGTTGCACACGCCTGGAACAGAGAGGGACATGGGGTTTGTTTCACCATCCAACAGGGAGAGGAAGAAGCCCCTGTGGCTGCTCCCTGCTGTGCCAGCCCCTCTCACCCGTCTCGGGGTCGCAGGTCTCGCTGTGCCCGTTGCAGGCGCAGGGCACGCAGGGGCTGTAGGGCCCGAGGCTCGGGGTCTCTCGCCGGTACCCAGGGGTGCAGCTCTCACAGAACTGCCCCTCATAGCCCACAGGACAGGAGCAGCTCTCCACCCAGGCCACAGGCACGCCAGGTCCAGGACGGGCACTTGTGATGGTGACATCGTCCAGGTGACCAGCACCTAGAAATCACAAGGGGAAACTCCTCGTAACTCTCGTCACCCCTTTCCCAAGCACACAGGTGAATGGCACAAGGGACAGGCAGGTGGGTGCTTGCAGTTAAGGTGAATCAAGAAGTAAAATCCTCCAGGAAGGTTTAGAGAGATGACAAAAGAAGCAGCAGAGGTCACGCGGGGCATGCGCAGGACAGGAAGGCTGAGAATGACAACGCAGAGGAGGATCTGAGAACAGCAGGTGAACAAGTATGGTCAGTTTAAATTCTGTATTTCACATGTATGGTTTCCATTTCCAAATCAAATACCAAAACCAATTCCTGCCTTTCAAGAGAGGACAGACCATCTCTCCAGCAATTTTAATGCACCGTCTGCAAACCATACCCTGGGGAAAACTCTTCAGCTATTCCTCTCAAGCCATTCCTTCCTCTGCCATCTGAGTGCTTCTCCTCCCAGCCCCTTTCCTGGAGCAAAACAGAGCCCAGACACAACAGAGCTGGCTCTTAACTTACACCACTGTGTTGTACCACTGCAGCAGCTCCAGGGCACTGAGCAGAGCCTCAGCTCCCACATATTAGCAGCAGCTACAGCACTCAGGGGATGGTTTGCTCCACACCTTTCCTCTGTTTCACAACCCCACATTCCTCTTTATGAGCCACTTCTACTCAGCTTTCCCATCTTCTCCAAGTGAAAATTCATCCTTTACATCTTTCTGCAAAAATTCTTTGTCACACAATACCCAAGGACAAACTTCTGCTCCTAATTCATGCTTCTTTTTTAGAAACCTCCATTACAAGGAACTTTCACTCAAGTCCTGCACAGGCAGCACCTTTGAGACCTCATCCTTGCCAAGGCAAGACCAGCAAATGGGGAATGTAACCATTCCCAATGCACTAGAACTGGGGTCAAGTGTTTCAAACTCACTGCATCTATCCTACCATGTCCTCCAGGACTCCGTACTATGTATTTTTACCACTTTGGAAGGCAGTGGCTATACAACACACCAAAACCTTCATGTTTAGAGGCAAAGTAGCAGCAGGTGATGAGAGACCAGCTTCCAGACCCTCAAAGACCATACTTTTCTTGCAACTCTTTAGGAGGCCTGGAAAAAGCTGTTACACAGGAAGACCAGGTGAAAAGCCATTGGCACAAGCTTTGCCCAATTAGCTGCCACAGCTGTTTGTGGCTAGGCCCTACAATAAAGCAACCCAAGTACTAGACAAATGAGTCTCCCCCTCTTCTGTGACCTTCTGCCCAGCGACTTACTTCTCTCGCTGTATGTCCCACGGATCTTGATGGACGTCAAGTTGTGGAGAAGCTTCTGGAACTCAAATGCTGTAAGAGCAGGTCTCCATGGGTAATCTGTGGCCTCGTGGAGCCTAGGGAGGAGAGCCATGCATCATCAGCACAGATTTTTGATGCTAACAGCTGTGCCCTTTCCAGGCCCCCTTTCCAACAGCTATTGCAACACCCTCCACATACTCTTATGCAATGCTGCTAGACAGTGTCACATTAACCTGGTAAGACCTCTCTTATGAGCTAAATATAACGATTTTGGCTTAGAGCTCAGAGGCCAAAGGCACCACAGGCTAGGCCCCAGCTGTTCCCAGTACCTGAAGGTGTAGGTCTGGGCAGTCTCACTGGGGTAGGAGTTGCCCTGGGCAATGAGTGGCACTGACACTCTCAGCCCAGCCCCTTCCAGCACCAGGTCCTCTGCAGAGAGGCGTGTGTCCCGTCTGTCCACACGGAAGGAGAAGGTCAGGTTTTGCCCATAACTCAAAACCTGGTTGCCCAAGAACTTGCCTGAAAGGAGAAGATATATCCTTACAGTTACAGGACACAAGAAGTGACAGAGGCTCAGTTTACCCCCTGCAGCTTACGAACTGCCATCTCCTGAGCCATGTCTAAACCCAGAGCTCAATATCCACCTTCCTGACTCAGCTCATGTGCCCTGTTTGGCCCTTGGGGATCCCACCAGTCCCTGCACCCATCTTCTTCTTGCCCCTGCAATGCAAAGGTTAACCCTGGTCCTTCATGCAGAGGCACACAGGAAGCTGGGGCTGTCTGTGATGCAGCTGTCTCCAGTGCACCACGGGACTTCCATTCCTGCCCTGTCACTCCCCCCTCTCCAAACCATGGGGTACAGGAGGGTAGCAGAACCCCAGCCTGCTTTCACAGCAATGAGATGGGTGTGCAGGAAACAGTGGTGGAGCAGGCAGGTTGCCTGGGTTAGGGATGTGAACTGCATCTATCCCAAGCTGTCAAAGAGCACAAGCAGCACAGAAGGTTAGAATGACCTACGTGGTGCAACAAAGTACATGGGGAAGTAGGTGTCCGAGATAACAGAGATATCCTGGGTCTCTGCACTCCACTGGAGCGAGACTGCGGAGCCATCGCGCTGCTCAGCACGCCACTCGTCCTCTCCTGAAACACCAGATGGGCAGGAATTAACACCCCTGGAAGACACAGCTTTGCACACACTTCTCACCTATTAGGTAATCCACAGTCTGTACACAGGCACTAACAAAGTCACCGTGCAGAATTTGGGTAACAAACATCCTCTTTCCAATTTTAAGCCTCGAACTTGAGTGCTGACTTGAACCCTCTGAACTTTGAACCCTATGACAACTACTCGTTCCAAACTTCT